AAGAGAGAGAGAGGAGAAAAGAGAGACCACAAACTCTTTCACACCAAAAGAGAGCTGCAGATCATGCAATGTCTGATTCCAATCAGCAACTTTTCCTGGACAAACAACACTTATAATTAAGATATGAAATCTAGACATGAATATCCTGCAGCTCATTACAATAGCATATATCAGGTACCATCATAAGTTGTTTTGAAATAGTACTCCATGCAGTAGCTATTCATAGCATACTTGAACTCAGACTTGACTTTGTACAAACCCTTTGAAAGATCCATTGGAACAGCACCCTTTACCTATTACCAAATAAGAGGGTAACTGATGTCAAATGAAGACAAGCAATAAAAAAAAAATACAGTTCAGTCATTGATCTAAGAATCGAGATAGATCGTGATGACAGTATCTCTAACAAGCTCTCTGAACAGCCTTGCTAGACAAGCTACCCACAAATGATTCCAGATCAAAACAATTCATCAATTGTTTAAACCTTTCTTGGCAGCTCTGTTATATGAATTTTGTGTCCAATGGTCAGATTTGCGTAAAATCTACTATTTTATACTTGAAAGTTGAAACGAAGAACATATAATAAGCCATACACCTGTCACAACATGGATTCAAATAGAATATTTTAGAGTAGATAAGGGAGAGAGAAATGGCATTAAGATGATTGAGCCTCAATAGATAAGTCCATGTAAGATAAGTTAACAGCAAGCAAAACAATATATTGATCATGGAAATGACAAAGGCGTTCAAGAAATATCTCAGCATACTTTCATAATGAATTCAGATTCGTAAAGAGAAGGAAATCCACTAAAGCTTCAATGTGATAATTTTCATATCATAATATACAATAATGATCAAATTGAACGAATTTGGTGCATACCAGTAAGTTCTGGGGACCATCAGCCAACCACTGTCGACAAACCACCTCTATATCAGAAATAAACCTTCAATACAATGCACATTATTGGTATAATTACGGTATTCAGTATTCTGAGCATCTAAACCAGGTTTCTCTGTTGATAATCATACTTTTCCCATGAAGAGGCAAGTGTAAAATCATCAAAACACGCAAGCTGCAGATTTATTACAACAAAAAAATAAAAACGGATGAAATCAAAACAAACACACTTGCATCCGAAATCCCGATGATTTGGGCAAAAAAATTATCCTACCTCTTCCTCTTCTTCATCCTCTTCAACGCTTTTTGAATTGCTAGTTGACGCCATGAAAGAAAGTACCTGTTAGAGTGAATTCGCGAATCAAATATCTGTTTACCGGGCTAAGGTAACTATGAAACGTAGGACCTCATCAAAATTTTCAATAACTTCTAAGAAAAAAAATATGGCAAGTTTAGATCGACTGCCGTATAACCTTGATTATCTGGACGACGACGATCGTGCGCTGCGGTCAGGTGCACCGTGCAGAGCCGAAGAAAGTCGTGTGGTAGATTTTGCGCTTCTCACATGCAAGGCTTCTTTCACGTTCTAATCTAAAATTTTTTATTTTTAATCGGTGAAAACACTGGAAATCACCCAAGTTTCAAAAAATAATTTCATTATCGTCACTAGAAAAGTTTTTGTTTCATTTTTGTCACCCAAGTTCAACAAAAAATAAAAAAATATGTTTGGTTACTAGGTTTATAAAAAAATTCTTACCCGGCAAACAAAATTCAATTTTAGTGACCAGATCTTTCGCAATTCCAATTTACTAATGGTCGTCCAAATGTGATTAAAGAAGTGATATTGTGGTGCACCCTCAATTGCAGTACTGTCAATATATCTATGTTTTAATTTATATATTAATGTAATTATAAGTGCTGTTAAGCATCTTTCTCAAGCAATTATTGTATGGCTGCCATCTTCGGAAGTCGATGATTCTTTGCAATGTCACATTGGCGCTTTGCAATTAATCGAAAGTTCATATCCAATTTAATGGAGCTAAGATACGTGACAAAATACTAAAAATCCCTCCCCCACCCCCACCCCCAATCTGTGAAATATCAACGACTAATTTGAAATGTGTATGGATAATGGATATTGAGGTTTTTATTTGTTAATGTCCAATTGATGTGGCAAGCAAGTTCACGCAAATGGTAATATATGCATTCGTTAGTTTTAATGGCCAACTAAACATGTTCATAAGTCATCTAACAATGTCCAAACGATTACTTTGACTGTAATTAAATTGAAGTTAAAATGGTCTGATTGCTGTAAATTAAAGTTCAATGACCTAATTGCAGTTAATGTGAAAGTTGAATGACTGTCAATACAATTAATCCAATTTTCCATATGCAACTGATTAGGCCAATAAGTCCAAGTAAAGATGGCCACATCTACAATCGATAGATGATTGAGATTTGGTTGGCTTCGTGCTTATTAGCGAGTACCGAAATTATATTCTTAGGCAATGGTTCTGAATGGATAAAAAGTTGGTTTGACCTGCTTAATTTTATAATTTACACTCTGCAAGAACATGTGCTTTACTTGATAAAATGGTAAAATATAGCTCTATTTAACTAGGCTTGTTCCTATTTTCACACGAATTAAGAAAATTTAATTAATATAATTAGAAATATTTTGTTCTTAAATTTAATGATTTAAATTCGATTAGTTTATACTTGTTGATAACAAGGTACATTAAATAAAGGCATATTAAAAAACTAAAAAATATATATTTCGATAACGAAAGTAACCTATAATTTGAGACAGAAGAAAAATGACAAAAAAAAAAACAAGTCTATCTTTATTGGACGGAATGAGTATAAAGTTCGATGATCAAATTTCAACAAGCAAAAACATTCATGTATAAATGCAACAATCAAATTCAACAGAGAATATAGTAGTCTAATATTTCCTTACTGCTATATTGTTAAATTCGCCACACATTTATACGTCCATCTGCTAATAGTTTTACAACAGTCGCTTTAAAAGAGGAAATTGAAGTAATAGATTACAGAAGAAAAGGATTAATAACCTTTTCATGTATAAATACAACATACATCACCAACTCCATTGTTGATCTTTATGGTCTTCCATCTCCTGTAAATCTTTCTTCGTTCGAAGTCACTTTGCTTTCAGAATGTGGCGTCAAGTGAAGCATCCACCTGGTCGGCCTGGCCAGGTTCGATAATCAAGTTTTTGGTAGAAGGCAATCCTGCAGTTACATCTTCTTCAATGCCACACTCATTTGTCCCTCTTCTGATCTTGAAATATCCATCCTGTAATTCGATAAATAGTCAAATTATTATTGACTTTATTGTGTAAGAATAAAACAAAGAAAGAAGAAAAATCTTGAGGACAGTGATAGTATGTTTATCTATGTTCAACTATAATATGAGAATGTGGGAATCATCATTTTCATTTTTAGTTGCTCAAAAGTTACTTTTCAAAGTCAATCAAACATTTCATAAGACCCACAAGTATTATCCACTTATCAATTACTCATTCGTATCAACTTATACCAAAAACTATAGAATACGGAATATTTAACTTTTTTGTAGCCTATAAATGACTTGGGAGAGAATCTCAAGGATTTAGCAGAATACATACATCACCCCAGCTTCTATTCCACTGATTTGCTAAAAGCTGCAAGAATTTGAGTAGAAAGTTAAATGTATTATCAAAAATAAATTCAAAAGGAACCAGAAGCTACAAAGAGTCATCACCCAATAATCCTCCCCATCATCAGTAGTTCCCCATCCTATTAGCTTCACAGCATGACCTCCCATCTCATCACCTGTCACATGCTTGTAAACCCCGGACTTGTAATGAGCAAAATCCTGTGGATGATAATACACAGCAGTGTAAAGGAAGCCGAAAAAATAAATTTCAAGACCCAAAGTTTTTAAGGTAATAAACAAAATTCATGTAATGCCAGCGGAAGGGAATTTTCATGAATGAGCAATCAGCTGACTACTGAGTAGAAACATCCACTACAGGAGAATGAACATCAATGGCTGCAGTCAACTTGTTCTCAGAAGTAACAGGCATACTTTTCATGCTTAAACAAAAAGTTTACATATTCCCTTATGAAATAAGCACTTATTAATGGTATCCTAAAGTACCATATCCTAATATAGGTACCAATGAGAAAACGAACAAAATATAACACTTCTATTTTACCTCATAGACAGTGAAAGCAACCTCAACTGGTCCATTCTTGTAGACTTCTGCCATAATACTGTGTGGATCAGAACTGATTCTATAAGCATTGACACTGAAGTGCTTTGAACCTTCCCAAAGAAGGTTCTTTTTTACACATCTTTTCTCACATTTAGGTGTTGGGAATGCAGGCTCACAACCAGGGTGGGAACATCCAATATTATCGAAATAAGGGTCACACTGCAAGAAGAAAAAATACCTTAAAGTGGTTGAACATGAATAAAGCAAATATACTCTGTGTAATTAATGGGATCATGGAGGATCTCAAACCATTTTAACTAATATAACTTGCATTCAAACCATTTTAACTAATATATCTTGTAATTAAACCATGATAATTGACGATGACATGAATACTACCTCATCGGTGACAACACCATTCTGGACAAAGTAACGCCATGCTGAAATGGGGTAACCACCATCACAGCCGTCACCACACATAAAGCCACAGCATGCCAGGAGATCATTGACAGATAGAGAAATATTCTGCAAAATGATCTTTTACATGTATAGAAGCACGTATACGAATAAACAGACATGGAGAAGTGAAGCTTTGAAACAGGAAGTATGAATTTACCATGCCAAAATTAATACAGAAGCGGTCAGAGAGTGACTCAACAGCACCAAAAGCCCAACAAGAACCACAATGTCCCTGATAAATAGAAAACCAGATTTGTTGAGAATCTCATTGACCATGAAACTTTGAATAGTAAAAATGTTAGGATGAGTACAGAATAAGTTACCTGATCTTTGATGTGAAAAAGGTTTTTTTTTTTTTTTCCAAAAAAAAGGAAAGAACATGATTAGTCTCTCTCCGAAGGAAACATAACCCAATAAGGACTAAGGAATTAACTGACCAAGTATATTTCCAATGGTACTACAGTGAGGCCAAGCAGTTCGTGCATCAAACTCTTTGGGCAACTTAAGACTTTTTGCATGAGTTACAACAGAAATGCTCTTCAAGTCACCCTCTGGCATTGGTTTGACTCCAAGAAGGTGCTTAAATTCGGCAACCTGGGGATCATTTAGTAGTTCCCGCCATGCAGGGGCAACAAAAGCTCAGAATAAAGCTAAAGATGGCCAATTCTCATGAAATGGTAAGTATTGTCTACCAAAAAACTTACTGTGTGGTTTGAAAATCGAGGGTTCATGGCAGCTCTCCATCCTGCTTCAGCATTTCCATTGATTAATTTAACTACTGACTCCTGCTTGGCAATTATGATAGTTATCTTCTGAAGCTGAATCTAGATTCTAATGGCAAATATCTGTGTTCATGAAGCGCGAGAGTACCTGAAGAATTTCTTTGTCAAGTTTCAGCTGAGGAATCGGCTTCACCGCAATGACCTGCAGAAAGAAGCTTTGAGTGAGTTGAAAAGTCCATAACCATAACAGGAGGGCCTATTCTGCTTCCACCTATAATCATCTTGTTATATACGCAAATATAATATAGGAATAGAAATAATTTTTTTAGAGGAAAAAAAAAAGACCAATTAAAAGATATGCAAAAATTCCCAAAATTCAAATTTGTGGAATAAATTACGACCTATAATAATTCTTCAGGAAAAAATAAGTACTTTGTAGAACATTTCATTTTCTTTAATTTATTCGATTTCACCAAATAAAAATGTGCCACTTAAATTTAATAAATGATAACCCCATTTAAAAAAAAAAAAAGCCTTTCCGTTTATCTCTAACTGCAATAACTAGGAGTTCTAATGATAACGATGATCTATATAAAAGGGCTGCATGTCACGACATCGTCGTACTCAAGTGCATTATTAATGACACATATTGAAAAGGCGGCACTAATATGGTAGATTTGTGTACCAATGAGTACGAGAAAATTAATAGAAGACCCAAGTAGCAAAGCCTTTATTAATTTTGTCATACTCATCCATCAAATAATATTTAATTACTTTTATGTTAAATTGTCAAGTTGGGTTAATTACCAATGTCTAATTATAGTTATTAAATAGTAAAAATGAATAAACTTTCACAATTGGAATCTTTTGTAATTTTTATGTGATTCTTTTATGATTTATCAAATTGTGATATTTTATTATATTGTTGAATGGTCACATTCAAGAAAAATTGGATGATGACAAAATTATCAACGAATAGAATCCCGTATTTCTATTCAACAACGTAAGAATAGTTCCTTGATTTTGGTTAAGAAGTTGTTGAATTCTTGCCTTGGAATAAATGGGGATAGAAATGGGCTGATGTTGGTGAAAATCGGAGAGAAATTTTGAACACAATCAATTATTCCTCTTTCTGATACATGAAATAGAGGATTTCCCCAAGTCGATTCTTAGGAAATGTCAAATAAAACTATTAGTCCTTATCAAAAAAAGGAAGCCTTTGCTAGATAAACTGTTTTTGTTGTGGTCATAATTTAATGCTAAATAAGTCCGAACAATTGAGTATCTGTATTAGAAATTCCTTGAATTGGTTTGCCATTTCACAAAGGATATAATCGACAACTCAAAGTTGTACATTATCCTTTCCTATAAGTAGGAAGAAAAAGTGTTGCTAAATTTATAAGGTATGTTGGGAGAATTATTCCTATATAGAGTATCATTGTTATGGCAGTTATAGAGAGGTCTCATAGTACTTGTATGACCATATCAACAAAAGCTTTAAAAGCAAAGGAGGACACACAAACTAGTCCTTCAGGTTGTCCAGATCTATATTTCTTTCTATAAACGTTCTGGATCTAAATAGACCATTCCCTAATAAGGAATTTCAACATATGAAGTTGACTTCTCAAATTACGTCTCGAGAAAGGTTTTATACTCTGTTTTGAAGAAAGTGGGAGTGAAGCTTGTCTGAGATAGAACTGTAAATTCTACACCTCAACCTCTCAATTCTCAAAGATTTAGTGCTTGCTCAGTTGAAATCGTCTCCTCAGCATCTACACAAGCAATCATCTTCTCGAACTGCTAATTTTCTATTTGAATAATGAATAATCTTTCTTATTCGTTGCAGGTTACTTATTCAAAGAATTCAGAAGACCGAAACTTGTATAAATCTAAAGTGCAAAAAGAAAACCACGTGATCGGACAAAGGAAAGATGATCGATCCAAAATCTCAGCCACATAAGCAACCATATAAATCAAATACAAGCACTAATTGCGATAAATTAAATCAGAGCGGACCTGTTGCTGAAAAGTGGAAATGAGTAGAAGAACCAAATAGCAAATCCCAATTGTTGCACCCATTTCCCCTTTCATCCTTCCTAGCTTGCTTCTTCCAGTTGAGATTGCTGAGCTTCAACTGCAAAACAAAGACTTTTATAATAGACGACGGATACGGGAATCTCAATTATTTATCCCTGCTGACGTCATTAGAATTGAACTGATTGGCGACGGTTTTAGATATATCGGTTCAGACCGGTCCGTCACCCTCCATCCTCGGTTTCGTAAATTGCAATAGCTAAAAAGAAGTCCTTGTTGCCATGAATCATGATAAAGCCACCGTTTGGTCCCTCGTCATCGCAAAAGATTATTCACCTCTCTCTTATTTTCAATTATACAATTTTTTATAAAATAATATTAAACGTAAATTAAAATTTTTTCTTTTCTTTCAACCAAATGTTCTGTAAAAAAATATTGTTTCAAAAATTATAATGTCAAATAATTGGGGTCAAACAGGGGCAAAGAGTTTTTTGTGGAAATTGAATTTTGAATTAATGATTTTTTTTTTAGAATGTATGGTTAAAAATTAGGCAAGAATTTTAGAAGTTGTCTGGTAAGGATTTTTAGCACAAACTGGTCCGTTGAGCCGCAACTATTGACCTTGTTGTGAGATGTGGCCCTGTCAATTTGACAAAAAGGGTACAAAAATGACTTAAAAGGTGAAAAAAAATTTATACCAAACAGGCTCTTAGATTTACACGTAAAGTATTTTATTTTGAGAATATGTATTTAAAAATAAAATTTAGAAACGTATAAACATTGTTTACTTTTCTTGTCTACAACGTCAGTTTGAATCTTTGTCAACTTGCATTCAAGAGATTTTTTAAACACAGTTTACATTTACTTATGTGGCCAATTTTTTTAAGCAATCAATCGTTGCAAGTTATATGATGAGATTCCTCAATTTGGAACGAGTAAGAAATTGATTCGGTTATGTAATTATAAATATTAATTAGCCCATGTTTGACAATTGTTTTTTAGATTATAAATTGATTAAACTTAATTTTTAACTAAACATTTCATTATCTCCGTAGCTTTTATGCACTTTTTTAATAACACTTTAACTTATAATCTTCAAAGAATAATTTTATTTGCATTCACTTACTTCCGTAATCGTCCATACGTGACATACATGTAACGGTTATTGATTTGATGCATGAAGCAATAAAAAATTACTATATTAATACATCAAATCAATAATCGTTACATGTATACTATGTAAGACGACTATAAGAATGAGCGACTACAAATAGAACTGCCCAATCTTCAAAAGCTTTGTCAAACAAGAATTTAGTTCAATTATACATAAAAAGTAATTTTTGTAGTACTATTGACGTTTAACACTTATATAAGTGACAGCACTAGTAACATTAAATTCCAAGTTTAGTTTAATACAATGAATTATAACCTAAGACTTGTGATATGTTGATATTTAAATTGGTATTCAACACCATATCTCATTATGTCATATATAAATAACGTAACGAGGTGACGATTGTTATCAAAATGCTAAACCCCCGTTTCGCCCCCATTTTTTACCATTACATTATATTAATTTTTTTCTTTCTTCATTTTAATCACATATTCATCAAATAAAATAATATTACATATAAATCTAAAATTTTTCATTACTTTTCTACCACACATTCTCTCATCAATCAATATTCCTAATATTTTCAAGACCCCAAAATGGGAGCCAAACAGGGGCTAAATAAGTCACCTACCCATGATTTATCCTACGAAGATATTTAGGGCTTGTGTGGGAGGGATTAAAATCAGATTAAAATTGAAAATATAGCCGTTATTGTTGACTTTTATTAGAAGAGTGGGGCCCAATAACGGCCATATTTTCAATTTTAATTGGCTTTTAATCCCTCCCGAACAGGGCCTTACTAATATCATTACACAAGACAAAAAACGGGTAAGAATTATAAACCTAACAACCAATGATGTAGCATTTCAATTTTCAACAAACACAATTTTCCAAACAATCAACCATTGAATAAGGGAAAAAAGTCAGAATGATGAGTACATAAGTGGAAAACTCCACCCGGACTGTGGTATTGAACCCAACTCCCACCAATTATGTCACGTCATCTTTTACACATTCTTTTATATTATGTCACATTGCAAAATGTTAGTTAGGCTGCCTCTCTATTCTGTCTTTGAGCCTCTGTACGTTTTGGGCCTTGTTGTGTTTGGGCCGTTATTCCGTCTTGTTTAATTGTGAAATCTTGGCCCTCCATCTGGCTTGCCTCTGGACTGTTGGATTGGGAACTTTCTAGAATTGGTTTTATATCCATTCTCTGGACGGTTCGTTTGGTGTGTGATGAAACGTTTCTTATTCTAGGGTTTCTCTTTTCTCTCTTCCTTAGTGCGATTCTCTTCGTTCTTCTTGTGAAATCTCAAGTGCAGATTTCTGTAAATGTCTTAGTGATATTCATGGTGTATTTTGTACACATTAGAGTTTGTTGAGAGAGATCTGTATAAGAGAGGCGAGAGGAAACTTTAGTGAAGAAATCTCTAATTTCTTCATACATTTGTAATCTGTTCTTTGTGATTCTTAGTGAATTCGAGCATAATCTACTGCGTAGATGCACATCCAAGTTACTTGTGAACCTAGAGGAGTTACTTCCAGCCTACCATGTCATTTCATTTCCTCAATTAAGACTAACAAATATAAATATATATATATCTACGCGAACTTTACTCGAGAAGTTCAATTGAGAGAGTGTGTGCATGTTATCAAACATAGCAACGGCATTCATGGAGCACTTCAAAACCAATGGAGATGATGACACTGTATCAATACTGTATTGTCTAATGAATATAAATGCATCATAATTAATTGATCATACCATCACATAGAATAATGACTATCTTCATTAAAGATGAACTGATAAGAAGATTCCAAACCTGCATTATTGTTATTAACTTGAAGTTTATTGTGAGACGAGATTGATTACTCGTCCCCATTAAACCCGTTTCATGAAAATTACATGTCCCACATTTGACAGGTTTCTTTAGCTATCCCCCCATTTATTATTTTTTACATATTAATATGACAAACTCTTGTAAATAATGGAAAGAGTAATACGTCCATATGTAATATACTATAAGCCTCCGTTAAATTTATAATACATTTTTCCCTCTTCTTTTTGATTGCATATTTTTTCAATAAAATAATATTACACATAAATAAATAAAAAATTCATTTTTTAAACCATACATTTTCCGAAAAACTACCATTCCAAAAATTATAACATCAAATAAGGAGGGCTAAACTCGTGGACAGGCTAATCTTATATGGGATGGATCGCGAGAGCAACAAGACATGCTCATTTCTACGTTAGGTTGCTCAGTCCAATCACGTGAGAGCTGCTAATATATTTACAACGAGTATATTAATTAATTATAAAAAAAATACTTGGCGGTTTTGATGAACTACGCGAAAGCATCTAATTTTAGAATTAAACGAAGCGACAAATCACCGAGTCCCTCCCTGCCCACAAATCGCCGTGCGCGTGAAACAGCTCTCAAATTTGCTGCAATTTGGGAAATCCAAATCGCCCATCGATGAATACGTTGGCTCTGCCGTCAACGATTACGATTTTTCCTCAGAACAAACGCTGTATACGGAGAGTAAAATTGCAACGAGCAGCGCTGGTGGAGGCGAAGCCTCGACCAGTTCCGGCAACTGGAGGGGGCGGGAGTGGTGGCGACAATGCTCCAGTGACTGTCCTGCGAGTTCGAGAGCAATCTTCCTCTCATGCTCTATCTCCCAGAGACCGAACTGATGATATGCAAGCAGAAGCCAGGGCCATGGCCCGCGCTGCTAACGCTTTAGTATATACACCCGAATTTTTGGCCGCCAAATACGGCTCGCGCCCAATCAAGGTAGTGCAGAGGGCGATTGAAATAGTATCTGGCCTTGGTTCTTTTGCCTTCAAGCTGTGGCTCGACCAGTTGAATGGGCAGCTAGATCAGAACCAAAGATTGCGGGCAGTTGAACTTAGGCAGGTTTTCACGAGATTGGGACCTACTTTTGTAAAAGTTGGCCAGGGCTTGTCCACCAGGCCGGATTTGTGTCCACCCTCATACCTCGAGGAGCTCTCCGAATTGCAGGTAGTGTTTCGTTTATTTATACATGTTTATGATTTCATTTCAATTTTAGGTGTCGTTTACTTTGAATCAGAGAATTTTGACCTGTGTCTGGATAGAGTTTTTTGCTAGCGTGTTTGGGTGAGTACAGGGGACAAAAGCGACGGGTAGGTGATGGATAGAATATAGATTGATCAAATTTCTCAGTCTTTCGCACCCGGCATAATTTGTTCGAGCAATGAATGTTTATTATCAGTGGGTAATGAGACTTATATGAGCTTATTTAATAATTCTTTTGTTATAGAATCCTCATCGCCGTTATTGTGATGGAGCAGGATGCTTTGCCAACTTTTCCAGATGAAGAAGCATTTACATGTATCGAGAGAGAGTTGGGACTTCCACTTGATTCTGTTTATTCATCAATATCTGCTTCTCCGATTGCTGCCGCCAGTTTAGGTCAAGTGTACAAAGCTCAGTTGAAGTACTCTGGCCAGTTTGTTGCTGTGAAGGTGCAAAGACCTGGTATTGAAGAAGCTATAGGGCTGGATTTTTATCTTATAAGAGGTTTAGGTTTCCTCATAAATAAATACGTTGATATAATTACAAGTGATGTCCTTGCTCTTATTGACGAATTTGCTCGAAGAGTTTACCAAGAGCTCAATTATGTGCAGGTCAGTTTCTGATATTATTTTGCATTTACTACTGAAGAATATCAATGTAAGGCACTTTTCTTATACACAGAGATTTGGAAGATTTTCTCTTTCTTTCAATTGTGTGAAGTATAAAGCTACTGGTTGTGAATGTTAATTTTGAAAGGTCTATGCAGGAGGGGCAGAATGCAAGGAGATTTAAAAAGTTGTATGCTGACAAACATGATGTCCTTGTCCCAGATATTTTTTGGGACTACACAAGTGGGAAGGTACTAACAATGGAGTGGGTTGAAGGAGTCAAATTAAATCAGCAAGATGCTATCGAGAGACAGGGGCTCAATGTTCTGGATCTTGTCAACACAGGCATTCAATGCAGTCTTAGACAGCTGCTCGAGTATGGGTATTTTCATGCAGATCCTCATCCAGGGAATCTCTTAGCAACACCTGATGGGAAGCTCGCTTTTATTGATTTTGGAATGATGAGTGAAACTCCTGAACTAGCAAGATCTGCCATAATTGGTCATGTTGTCCACATGGTCAATCGAGACTACGAAGCTATGGCTCGTGATTATTATGCTTTAGATTTTTTGTCCCCTGATGTAGATGTATCTCCCATCATACCAGCTCTGAGAAACTTCTTTGATGATGCACTAAATTCAACTGTGAGCGAACTCAACTTTAAAACCATTGTGGATGGTTTGGGTGCTGTTTTATACCAATATCCATTTAATGGTGAGCAACTTGTTTCCCTCTATTCATCAATACCATCAATATTATTGCCTGTGTTATGCTTTATTTTCTTTTAAAAGTTATAGCTGTCTTATTCCTTTTATGATACTGTCTGTCGTTGAACACGTCAAATCAGTTGCTCTTTTGTTTAATATTGTTTATCTGCAATCTGTTGAGCAACTTTCTATATATAGTAAAAGTTTCCAGAAAAGGCATTATACACATTTGGTAAATTGCGTGCTTGTAAACATAAAATGTGCATTAATAATTATATTCGGTGCTATTTGGTAGAGCTTGTTTAAGTGCTTCTAAGTTTTGGGTCCTACAAAATGTGTGGATACAAAGTATGTTTGACCAACTTATATTATAATGTAAGCTTTGCCAAACATGCTCTTGACATTCAATTATCTGCATCACGACTAATGCTGCTGCTTCTACTTTAATATAATTTTTTGCAGTTCCAGCCTATTATGCATTGATTTTAAGGTCTCTTACTGTTCTGGAAGGGTTAGCACTGTATGCTGACCCTAATTTTAAAGTGCTGGCTGCTTCGTATCCGTATTTTGCTAAAAGGCTTCTTACCGATCCTAATCCATATCTGAGAGATGCTCTTATTGAGTTGCTATTCAAGGATGGGAGATTCAGGCATGTATACTGTTTTATTCTTTTTTCATATTTCTGAGCTATGATTGGAACCTGGAAGAGTAATTCTAACTTGTGCTGTTAGTCAAATTAACAAAAAGCATCCATCATTTGCTTCAGGTGGAATAGACTTGAAAACCTGCTAGTACAGGGAAAGAAAGATAGAGATTTTTCTGCTAAAGATGCTTTACAACCCGTCCTCAAACTATTATTGGGTCCAAATGGTGAAGAACTTAGGGTTTTAGTGATTAAAGAGGCTGTTCGTGTCACTGAGGCTGTTATCCTGGGCTCTGTTGTTGAATCATATAACTCTATGAATGATGTTGTGCAGAATCTTTTTTTCAATGGCAATGCAACAGGCTTTTTTGCAATTACCACTGCTGAACAAGAAAGCATGTTGGAGCTTAGGGCACAAGTATTTAGGATATGGGGGTTACTTCGGTCCTCGGAGAACTTTGATCCCAGTATTTTGCAGCCCATTTTACAGGTAAAAAGCTAATTACGTGCTTTTTAGTTGTTAATTTTAAATTTCATTTGCACTAGCCTTTTCTGATTTCTTACCATTGCTGGATTTATAAATTAGTATTGATATGATTTCTTAAAATTGAAAGTAAATGGTTGATTTAATTTTTTGTGTGGATTACTCTGTACTTCGGAAATGTATATTTATGTCTTGAAATGCGTTAATAATGTAAACTTATAGAAATTTAGAATTAAAAACCTGTACACGTGGTCTTTTTTTGAATTTAGAAAATTCTTCAAATGCACTCTCCTTTTGATTTAGGATTCCACTTGTATAGCTGGCCTTTTTTAATTATACGTACTACACTTTTCCCTTCTTCAATTGATGTTTTATGGTAAAAATTCTTGCCTCATACCTTAGCTCTCTCTCTCTTTAACGTGAATGATAATCTCTTTCCAGAACCAAAGTTGCTTGTTCCCTTAAACAAGAAGAACAACCATATCCATAATACTCATCATAATAATTCTGTTAGAGACGTTCACCTTCTTAGAAAGGGATCCTCATTGATCAAATCTGTTGCTATAACCTTCTTCATAACGCGAATTCCAATAATTTTTAATTATGTGATTGATGATTATTTTAAAAAAATAACTACTTTTGGTATGTGTCGATATTACGTGTAAATTATGGAGGTACTTTACAAGCCAACATTAGCTGAAATAACCAAACTGCCATAGTTAGACGAGCTGACTTGAGAAACATCAATGAGCAGGTACTCCAAGAACCTGAAGCACGAATTCTTGGGGGCCGTGTGGTTGGTGGAATTACCCAACGTCTTGCAGCACGCTCATTACAGCAAATCCTCCGAGTTCCACCATCAAGTTCTACTCCATCATCATAAGTATTGTCCATTTATAAGCTGAGTCAAGTTCTTTTATTTCTTTGCCTGGGTTGGAAGGCCAACTCCCTCCCAAGTCAGCAAAAAGTGATGTACAACACGCGCTGATGAAAAGGAAATCAAAGTAAATAACTCGTATATTTTCACTCATTTCGATGTAATTGTCCAATGATGATAAAGTTGGGACGTATTTATGAAACCCAACCCGTGTCCCAAAGAAAAATAACAAGGCAGCGTTGGGGTTTCAATGTGTAAAATATGAAGTGAATTATACGATGTGCACAAAATTGGGTTACAAAATTGTTTGACAAAATGAGTGTGGCAAGATTAAGGCCATGAAAACTGTTTTTGAAGCCATTGGCCTAGATCTTGCCACGCATTTTGTAACCCAATTTTGTAAACTACATGGCATTGCTCTTATACGATAGCGCTATGGAATTATTCTTGATCTGCAAGTTTTGCAGTCTGATGAATTCTTTCTGCTTGTAACCCTATATGATTTTGTGTAATGTGGACTATGTAATACAATATTAATAGAGGAACAAAATAATTCAGTCTTATTATATATATTATTGTGTATGAGTATGAATATTATGCATAAAATGTTCTTTATAAATAGAGAATCATTTGAAGATGTTCTAATTATGTAAATGATACATTAGTTAATAGATACAAAATTTCTCTCTTTAAATATCCTCAATCATCCTTTCAATATGAAAAGGCAGAATAACACAAAATGCCTAGCTGAATTTCTGCATCTTTTTACGAGCATGTTTGAACATAATTGAGGACAGTACAGTAGATAAGATTTGAATTCATTTTTCTTCTTTTTTTGATTCTAGAGCATGTTTACGGTTGTCTTATGGATTAGGATGCTTCCTAACTAAACATAAAGATGAGTAATTAATTAATTTAGAAGAAAATTAAGCACCTGTTTGGTGGTCATTTTTTTGGAAGAACGTGAATCTTTGATTAAGCCCTTGTTTGGTACACATTAAAATTTTCATTCTCATTCTTCTACTCATTTTCAACCACACATTCTTCAATAAAATAATATTTGCCATCACATCAATAACTTTTCATTCTTTTTCAACCACACATTCTCCATCAATCAACTATTTCAAAATACATTCTTCCAAAATAACGTGGTTCAAACACACGTGGGGAAAAGTTTTGGCATTTTGAGTTGACTCGTAAAATATTTTATTTTGTGAATATGTAGTTGAAAATGAGTATGTGAGAGAAAAAAAAAAAGAATTTGAAAGAATGGGAGATAAATAGGGAGCTAAGTTTGAAAACCAAATGAAACCTTTTTTTTAAATGTGTAAAGTTTTACAAATGGTAGCTAAATGCACGGTATTCCTTCTATGAAAATCAGTCTACTCGTGGTTACCAATATAAAAGATTAGTGTAAATTGGCACGAAAACCATGGTGGTGCAAAATACTCTCTTTTATGCAAGCTAGGAATAATGTAAATACCTGGGATGTTGATTATCAATGCATAACGCAACATGAATAAAACAGACTGCATCTCTTCCAGAAACATAATTCTTCTTGTCAATTTGATTGGGTTGGAATAAAAATATTTCATCAAACTTTGATATTCTTATCTTCTGCCAACTAAATTTTGAGTAATACCTTTAGTGGCACCATTACCCAATTTTAATGATACAAACAATCAAAAGCCAAAATCATCTGCATATGAAACACGCACAATTATAAATTTCTGATTGTACCAATTGATGCCTCTCTGCTTCCTTGGCGAATAAAATCAGCTTGGAAATTCTTGCTGGGATTTTTATGGATTTGTAAACAAGAATCTCTGTCAATTGTTGAAATAAATTTGAAAGTGACTTCTCCAGTTATCCTCTGGTTAATCTTTAAAAATTGGTGGGGTGTAACTTTTTTGAGAAATTTCCTCCTTATTTACCTTGTACAATCTCTTTTTGAAATGTCTCGTACATAGATACATTGTGTACAATTTAAAGGTGTAGTTATCCATCATTTAACTGATTTTAAGTGTCCCAAGATTAGCAGTCACGAAAATGGCCAATCGTTTGAGAAGATGTTCAAGTTTGAAAGAGGCGCAATGATGATTAAGAACGATGTAACCCAAAATTGCTTCTTGCTAAACTATCACTGCTTGTTCCAATTTTCACACTATGGATTCGCCCATTTTCGCCTTTGCTCAGATGGAAAATCCACATGTATTCGTGTACAGTGCAATACTTGGAGCCTTTATAAATTGTTTTCGCCCATTTCATGCTTTACGATACTACATTGACATGCTGACGAACGCTGTAGATTTTTATCTGCTGTGGGGATTTGGGGAATGTCTTCAACATCAAGGACAGGTCTGGAAATTTGGTTCTCACATTCTATGTTCTGACTGCAGTTGTTGATTTTTATTCAAGTTTGGGTAGGGTTGTTGAGTCAAGGGTGCTGTTCGATTAAATGCCTGAAAGAGATGGTTTCGCTTGGTCTACAATGATTGAAGCTCATGAGGGGGTTGGGGATTTGGCTTCAGAGAAGAGTTTGTTTGATGAAATTACCGAGAAAAACATTGCTGCGTGGAATACAATGATTCATGGATATGTGAGAGTAAGCGATGTTAACTCTGCAGAGAAGTTGTTTTTTATGATGCTCGAGAAGGATTTGATTTCGTGGACAATGATCCATTGTTATGCAAAAAGCAAGCAATTTAGCAACGCGTTAGATCTTTTCTATGAACTGAAGAATGAAGTTCGACCTGATGAAGTGACCATGTCGACTGTAATTTCAGCGCGTGCACATCTTGCGGCACTGAACCAACGGGAGGAAGTACCTATCTATGCTATGCAAAGTGGGCAAAATCTTCATGTTTATATCAGGTATGCATTGATTAATATGTATGCATAGTGTGGCGTCTTGGATACCGCACTTGTGGTATTTTTCAAATTACTGGAGAAAAATCTTTTCTGTTGGTATTCTGTGATTGATGGGCTTTCGGTTCATGGGCTCGCCATAAAAGCATTAGTGATGTTTGACAGAATGGAGAAGAACATAAAACCAAATGGTGTGACCTTTGCTAGTAATCTCAGTGCTTGTACTCATGCTGGACTTGTGGAAGAAGGCTGAAGGAGATTCTTTAACATTACAACAAGTATAATATCCTTCCTGAAATTGAACACTATGGGTGCATGATTTTGATCTATTATGCAAAGCTGGTTTCTGGAAGGAGCACTAGAGTTGCTACGAGGCATGAGAATGGAACTCAATTCTGTCGTTTGGGGTGCTTTATTAGGCCGCTGTAAGCTTTACAAGAACTTGGAGATTGCTCAAGTTGCTGTTAATAAATTAATGGTATTGACATATTATACCCTTTTAGTTAACATTATGCAGAAGCAAAGTTGCAAGAATTAGGACAATAATGAAGGAACATGGAATAGAAAAGAGAAGCCCAGGTTCGAGCTGGATTGAAGTGGAAAATAAGACGCACCAGTTTTCTGCTTGTGAAATTATCCGGCATTGAGAGAAATTTACTCTCTCCTGGATGTGTTAAGCACCTCAGTTTGATTTTATCTTGTAAAGGGTTGTGGTAGCCGAGGGCCAATATTTGGATGCTATACACCGTGTAGGTCAATCTTGTTCACTGAGCACAAAAGTAACTAGGTAAAAAGTAGGGGTCTTCTTCGACAGAGAATCTAGAATTTTGACAGATGTTTTCTTTATAATTCCTTATAATTGCTTTATGTTTATTTAATTTACCAGTAGTCTGACTGATATTTCTTCCTTTGTAGGATGAATTCATGAATTTGTGAAATGTAGATCCAGGCTGAAGGGAGGATACAACAAGTTGTCAACTGAGTAGTCGAGGTTATATTCATGTTGGAGGAGATTTAGGTAGAGCGTTTATGCATCAGATAGATGCAGCCAGTCATGATCAAGTTGTTCTGTTTATGAGAAGAAAATGAAGAAATGACTGCACTAGCTACAAGCATATCCAAAAAAATTAGACATCCAGGATAATATATTGATGGTGGTGTATCATTATTAATCATCAACTCTTTGAAATTTGAGGAAAATAACGTAAGAAATGGAAACACCAGTATGCTGAATTTCCTAGCCAACTCCAAATCCACTATGATAGCTAGTGATGTTAAATCCAATGATTTAGATAAATTAACTTGCCAAAAATATGTACATTTAACATTTGCTGAAATATCTTTCTTTGCTGTGTGCTCCACCCACGTTAAATTAATAAGCTAATTGCTTACCATAGGCATGGGATCACGGATGGTGGTGGGCACAAACTGCTTCCCATTATCAACCTACACACTATCACCAATATAATTATGTATGTTTATAAATAAAAGAGATAGATATAATGTTAAAACAGATCTTGAGCTAGAGCTAGTTAGAATTTTGCTTAGAAATCTGCAATTTATATATATATCATGGGTGACGAATATCCGTCGTCTCTCCTAGTCCCCGACTCATCCTTGATCACAACCATAGCTTTTGTAGCAGTACTTGTCTCATTAATCGTTACTGTTTTTATCATTATTGGCGAAACAGGAAAACTTTATTCAACAAGATCAAAGCCTTTGAATCTTCCTCCAGGCAGCTATGGATGGCCAATTCTTGGTGAAACATTGGAATTTCTTGGAGCGGGCGTGGATGGAATACCAGAGAAATATGTTAAAGAGAGAATGGAGAAGTACCAGTCTACTGAGGTGTTCAAGACTTCACTCATGGGTGAGTCTGTAGCAGTTTTGTGCAGCCCTGCCGGGAATAAGTTCCTGTTTAGTAATGAGAATAAACTGGTCACAATTTGGTGGCCTATCTCTGTCAGGAAGCTGCTTGGACCCTGTCTAGCCACTACTGGTGGTGATGAAGGGAAGCAAATGAGGAAGATGCTATCTTGTTTCATCACTCCTGATGCATTTACACGGCTCTATATTAAAACTATGGACGTCGTAGCCCAGCAACATATCAATACTCACTGGTTAGGTATGATTGTTGCACAAACGAACGTATATAGTACAATAGATATTTCTAAATTTGTGTATATACATATTTTTAAGACCATTAAACTACATATTTTTGTTTTTGAAGGTAAAGAAGAGGTGAAGGTGTTCCCAATCATCAAACTATATACGTTTGAAGTCGCATGTCGTCTCTTTATGAGCCTTGAAGACCCTCAGCAAATTGCCAAACTTGCTGTCCTGTTTAATGTTTTCTTGAAGGGAATAATCTCAGTCCCTCTCAACGTCCCAGGTACAAGATTCTTTAATGCAAAGAGAGCGACTATTGCTATTAAGAAACAACTACAAATGATAGTCAGAAACAGGAGAGTAGCCTTGGAACAGGAAACTGCTTCAGCTTCACAGGACCTTTTATCACATTTGCTAGCCCATCCTGATGAAAATGGCAAGTTTATGCCTGAATCAGTTATCGTGAATAATATATTGATGCTACTCTTTGCTGGTCACGACACTTCAAGTGTTGCCATAACTATGCTGATGAAGTATCTTGGACAACTTCCTCAAACTTACGAAAAGGTATTCAGAGGTAAGCGGAAATACCCTTTGCTTCACCTTGTTGCCATAACTATGCCTAATGATTTATGTTTCAAATCAGAGCAAGGTGAAATTGCATCATCCAAAGAAGCAGGGGAATTTCTACATTGGGAGGATATACAGAAGATGAGGTACTCGTGGAATGTAGTGTCTGAAACTATGAGACTATCACCACCCGTCATAGGTGCTTTTAGAGAAGCACTAGTCGATTTTAAGTATGCAGGTTATGACATTCCCAAGGGATGGAAGGTACTTCATTTTTTTCTTATTTATCCATACATCTTTTATGAGATTCTCCAAGACTCAATGAATTCTCTTTCCCATTTTTTTACAAGTAAGAAAGAAACCTTAACAGTTGTTTATTCGCTTTCGAACTCATGATTCATAAACTAACTATGCTGTTGCAACAGTTATACTGGAGTGCCTCTTTGGCGCATACAGATTCTAGCTTGTTTCAAGGGAACATAAATTTTGATCCGTCAAGATATGAAAGGGCAGGACCTATACCATTTTCTTATGTTCCATTTGGAGGGGGACCTCGGATGTGCTTGGGAAAAGAGTTTGCTCGACTGGAAATACTTATATTTCTACACAACATTGTTAAGAGATTTCGATGGGATTTACTGATTCCTGATGAGAAAGTAGAATATGATCCTTTGCCCACTCCAGTCAAGGGACTTCCAGTTCATCTTCATCCTCACAAGCCCTGAGATGTTGTGGCTTCTTAAGTTGATGCTTCGTTGAATTAGTTGAAGAAAATTGGACATTAATATTGAGAATTATAGTCAATCACATGTATTAGGTTTCAGCACTAGCTAGGTCCATTTGGACTTTTGTCAAGATTGAGGAAGAAACTCAAGAGTATTGATGCAGATTAATCTTCACCTAGCTTAAATAGAATTTTAGTAGGTAAAAGTTGTTCACTGTATTTCCAGAAGTAAATTTTGGTCATGTACTTGATATTCATGATAGAGAAATGGAATCAAGAATTAAAATTCATTACGATTAAAATTGACAACTCTAGTTCTTCTAGTCTTTGCGTAAACATATACGTATGATTGACTAAATTGTAAAACAATTGAAACAACCAATCTCTAACCAGATAATACCAGTTTCATTCAAGAATGATCTTGAGGTAGTATTCCTAATATGCAAAATACAATAGTGGGAGCCTTCTTACGCCAGGTCCAGTAGGAGATCAGCATTTCAAACATCTGAATTCTGTTAGAAATCATTCGGAAAGTAAGCCACAGCTCCTCCAACGTATTGGTGTAGACTGCTGTTTTTATTCCTTGTTGAATATGCCGAATATTGATTTGATAGCATTGATAGCGTTTTCATTGATAAATGATTCATCAAACTTCTTCATAAGAGGTTCGAATTCCTCAGATGCCCTTATGTTGGCAAGGTCAGGATCTGTCCTGATTCTCTGTCAAAATGGCATCATACAAAAGAGTTTTCGATAACTAGTCTAATCATAATAAGTAATGGTTTTAATCCTTGTTAATTTACCTTAAAATCTTCAAATCCGCCTTTCAGAGCATCCTCTAAGGCGGACAGGCCAGCTTGTATCTGGGATAAGTTATAAAAGAAGTTGACAGATTTACAGAAGAAAATGAGAAAAGGGCAGATAATTGCTCAATAAATACACACTCACATGCCTACTGAAACTATTTTAACTACAATAACAATGAAATGGCATTCCATGCACTATTCTTATATAGAAGGACCTTTCATTGTCCTTGGTATATATCGTGACAAGTGCTAACTCAATTGGAACCAGTAAAATGCTCAATTCATAATTGGTTTGGACAATTGTCTACCTGATTAAGCTTCGAATAACAGCATGCTACGTTGTAACTTGCCACAGATGCTTCATTTGGCTCTGGTTTTGATCCCAAAACTGACTCAAATTTCTCCAGTGACTCTTCGTACTTGGCATTCCTTCACCAATTATTACAAGAAAACAATGTGACCAATTTATTTTTAAATTAAGAGGTCAAATTTGATTTAGCATTAACAAATGACATTATACAAACACAATAGTTGGTGTGGCACAGAGAGTAGTACATGGCTTTTAGAGACTTATCCTTCGATGGATGCAAAGCAACAACAACAAACTAAGCCTTATTTCCAATAAATTTGTAGTCAGCTACATGAATCTTTCTTTTCCCATTCTGTTTGTTGCTTTAGATATCCCAGCTAGATCTATTTGGGGATCTAAAGCAACTACATCATAAACAATTATCACAGGCCAAGTTAATTTTGGATGCCCAAACTAAGTATGATTATTAGTGTAACCCAAAATTCAAGCACTTAAACTATTAAAGCTCAAATTGACAATATAGAAGGTTCAAAAAGGAGGTTTTTCAGCCACCCGTCCACCCCCAGGCTCGACCATATCACTTGAGTGCGTCAAGTCATCACAGTGTGTTGAAATCATGAAAGAAAGAGGAGGAGTCCTAGCATAGGTTGTAAAATTAAATGAGATATTCAACAAAAATAGAAAATGAAAAAGTTGTGCAATGCAATCAAGATGAAATGCGGGGTTTAACTTGTAAAGCTGCAATCCTTCTCGAAGGTCTTTCTCTCTCTGCTGTTTCTGCTCTTTTTTCCGAAGGTAATTTTGCATCTGCAATGCAATCAGTTACAGGTTTAATATTACAATCTGGATGAGTTAAGATGTTTGGTAATATAAGGAAAATGAATCAAAATCGAGATAACTCACTTGAATTTCCCTAACTCTGTTACTGATAACTCCAGAGTTCCTCTCATTTCTGATAATTTCCTTCTCAGTCAACTCGCCACCAGTATCCACCTTTCCTGGTAAGCGAAAACCATGCTACTAAGGATAAAACATTATGCAAGCCTTCATTTCACCAACATTTACATTTATGGGAAATGTGAATGTCAAATTCAAATGAAAACAAGACTCCGTTTCTTATTCACATTTGAAGCTAATTAAAGCAAAATACCATTTCCATTTCATAAGCTTTCTCCTAATTGAAGAATTGCAATGAATTGTAAATACGAGCAATAGCATGCTTCAATCGGCCTTGGAAAACGGTAACTAACATAAATTAATTACCGTATCTCTTCTGCAGTTTCATGAGTAGTGGACCAATTCTTTGACGAATGGTATACATGGTTCTCCCATATTCAGCTGCAGGCCATATTTCCTCCCCAAAAACTGCACTGAATTAATAAATTTGTTTCATTGCTTAATTTATCACATTTCATTTGATTTAATTTCTAAAGCAGAGACTATTACAAGATTCATTAGATCCGTTAAAAAAAGGGTGTATAAATCTGCAGAAATGAATCAGAAATTACCTTGTGGCGAGCACTTTATCCCCAACAGTGAACTTCCCAGTTTGATAAGCTGAACCACCAGGTGCAATGGCATCAATGTAAGTCCCACCATCTCTACCCTTGGTAAATCTCAATCCGTAGGGCTGCACAATTTCAACTTCATACTCTTCATATTTTTCCTCTCCTGATTCGGAGGTCTCCTCGGTCTCTGTTTCAGAAGCTTTAACAATCAAACAGCTCGAACTACTAGTAGTGCTAAACAATGGATGAAAAATAACATTGTTCTTCTGATTGATCTTCAGTAAAGAACAGAAAACTAATGGGGTGTGCTTAGCCATGGCTGTGACTCTAGTATTTCCATTTCTGAGCAAAGATGGAGATGAAGAACATAGAGAAGCCACGGCCGACATAGTTAGTTAACTGTGAATCGATCAATTGTAGCTCTGTCGACCACGGATTTGAAGAAATGAATGATTAATTGAGCTTCATGCAGATTTCTGGTGTTGCAATTCCAAAGAGATGACAGGAGGAAGAGTGACTAGTGGTTCTAATAAGCCCTTTAATTTTATGCTTCCACGTGGCATTTTGGAAATCGAGTTGACGATTTGGCCAATTCAGAATCAGAATATTCATGCTCTCTATATTAAGCTCTCATTAAAATCAATTTTTTTAATAAATTTTAAAAATTATAAATTACATTAAATATATTGTTAAAATTAATTGTTGATTTTGACTTAAATAAAATTTAGATTTTAATTCCTACCAAATAAAATATTGCCCATAATCCATAACTTTTTTGTATAATTTTTAGGGAAAATTGCAGTCACGATACCAAACATTTCAAATTTTTGCAGACTTTGTCCAAATCTTTGTTTTGTGCCTACCACGATACCAAACTTTTAAACAATTTACACCCGAAATCCAAATGGACGGTTTCGTCCAGTTGATCACGAAAACCGTTAGTTAACCTCAAAAATAACAAAAAATTATAATTTCCACCAAATAGACAAGGGTAATTTCGAAATTACGCATAATTTTCATCAAATAAGTTTAAAAAACGAATTAAAAATCTCAAAAATAATTTTAAAAAAAAACTGTTCACCTCCCACCCCAGGAAAAATCAACCACCATCCAGCCCCGTCGGCCACCGCCGCCGCCTCCTCCTCCCACCAACAAACCCACCCACAAGTCCCCTCAAAATCCCCCTTCCACATCCCCTCTTAGACCCCCACATCCAAGCTTTGCCTGTGGAAATATTTTACAGTCATTTTACTTGGCCGAAGGAGTACCAAATACTCTACCTGATCAGACGATTCCAAACGCTTTTTCATCGCTATTCACCAAAAGATCGCGATTAAATATAGGGAAAATCGGCTTTATTTGGTGTCGCCGGTTAAAACTTCCTGATTCTCACGTACAAAAGCAAACTCAAAATCCTCATCGTAATCATCGTTGTCGTCTTCATATGATGAACAGTTTTTTTTAAAAAAAATTATTTTTGGGATTTTGAATTCATTTTTTAAACTTATTTGGTGAAAATTGTGTGTAATTCCGAAATTGACCTTGCCTATTTAGTGGAAATTATAATTTTTATTTTTTTTTATTTTTGAGGTCAACTGTTTTCTTGGTCAACTGGACAGAAACCGTCCATTTGGACTTCGGGTGCGAATTGTTTAAATGTTTGGTACCGTGGGTGGCACAAAACAAATGTTTGGGCAAAGTCTGCAAAAAGTTGGAAGGTTTGGTACCGTGACTACGATTTTCCCTAATTTTTAATGACACATTGTTCGAAAAAAAAAAAAAATCACTTTTCACAAAATTATTTCTTAAAAATCAACACCAAACAAGGAATAAACATGTTGAGTTTACATGTTTGACATCGCTTAAATTATAACTTAAGTTGAATAAATATACTTTTATTTACATACTCTAGGAAATCTATAACTTATAAACACTTAAAAACACGAGCAAACAAGAAAGATGTTTTTCAACTCTGAAGTGCAACACGTTCTAGCATGCCACACACTTGAAGTCCATGAAATATATGGTTGAAAAATTAATAAAATTTATAAATTCCATATAATGTGTGGTTAAAATTGAAATTTGACCAATTAGCTAAATTATAACAATTGACCACTATGTTAAAAATGTTATATCATAAGTATTGTCCATTTCAAAAGAACATACATCATCATACCATTTAATTTAGTCCCCATTTAGCTTTCATTATTTGGTATTATAATTTTTGGATAATGAGTGGTTGAAAAAGAAAGAAATTTTTTTTATTTACATGTCATATTATTTTATTGAAAAATATGTGGTAAAAAAGAAGAGAAAATATGTAATATAATTTTAACGGGGACCAAACGGGAGCTTAATCGCTAACAATAACGATTTTAGTTGTGCTTCATGCTTAGTTGTGGCAATAGGTCGAGTCGTCACACGAACTCGACTAGTCAAAGTGACGAGCTGAGCTCAAACTCATTCAAGCACGAGCCAAGCCCATGAGCTCGAGTTTTTATTTTTATTTTTTTTGTTTACATTTTTACAAGCCCATGAGCCATTCACGAGCTCGACGAGTTGAGTTTTTATTTTTATTTTTTTGTTCACATTTTTACAAGTCCAAGAGCCATTCGCGGGCTCGACAAGTCGAGCAAGGCTTGGCTCGCCAAACGAACCTCCCGTTCAACTCGAGCCCTTCTTGGGTTAAGTCCGAGCTGTCCATGGGCTGAGCTTTGACGAGCCGAACCGACAGCTACTCAACCATTTTGCCACCCCTATAATAATTCTTACTTCCAATTGCATAGTTTTTTCCATTTTTCCTTTCTTGTTCTTTTTTTGGAAAACCAAGGTTCGAGGTTACATGATTTTGGTTCCTTAACTTTCAAATTTGGTTCTCAATCTATTTAAATATATGAATTTTGGTTCAACACAATAAAGTTTCTACATTAAAATTGCGGGCAACTTAAAAATTGAACTTAGTAATTTGACGATTTTATTCAACTTTTAGTGGTGTGAAAATTTCGTGCAATTTTGACATTTACATTAACAATTTCCACTGTGGTATAGATGAGATCTCCACTTGCAATCTCACTTTTGAAGATTATATAAAAAAATATTTTTGAACTTGAACTGCAAATTTTTTAAAGGTTTGGTATTTACGGTGTCAAAAGTATGCATTAAATGAAAGATTTGATATCTTGACTGCAATTCTCCCTAAATAAAATCAGTAGAAGTTTTACATCACCCGCTTGTTGTATATACTTTTTATGCCTAAATAAACGCTGTGTACCATGCGAATTCCACTAAATATAAATGAAAAATTAGTATCGTTGTCGCCACACCTGAAAATGAGGATTCTCAAATAAACTAATCAATGTAATTATTTACATGACCTTTACCAATTCTCTCCCTAAACAACTCGCTCCTCCTCCATGTAAAATTGATTCCTCCAAGATTCAATTATTCAAGGCATCTTATCATTTTCAACGAAATCAAATTGCCATTTTCAGCTCGTCAACCTTCTAATTTCCGTTGCAGTTCTGTATGGGAGAGGATCCTCCATACTAACAGTTACAATTGCTACAAACACAATCTACAACAGGATAAGGCCACACTCGTCCATAAAACATGAAATTCCTCAGAAAAATTGCAACTCAAGATCGAATAAGGTTACATTATTCATGTCATCACAATTACATGTTGAATTGCAAATCGGAAATAAGCCGAATCCATGCAAGCCAATCTTGGTGGATTTCACTCCTAACCAACAAGTAGCTAATATTATAAAACTAAGTTCCTGCAAGCAACTTGAACTGTAGTATGTTGACAACATATATATATGTGTGAAATGCATATCAATTCGGAACTTGGAACATCCACCAGCAGTTCTCATATCCCAGTTTGCTTAGTAACCGTATCCTGACAAGATCACAAAATACCTCAGTACTGCTAAAATGGAGAAAAGGAAACTGCAGTCGAGGGGATTCATCAAATATAGAGGTATAACGAGTAAATAAACCTGAACTGTCCATTGGGTTCCCAGCAGGAACTGGTTCAGGCTCCTTGATCTCAACAACCACACAGTCGGACATCAAGAATGTCTTGGCCACGGAGGCTGCATGTTCTAAGCAACATCTGACCACCTACACACAACATAGACACCACTAAATCTCTAGAAACCATGTAGAATAATGAACAAAACGTCATCCCATGTTCATTTAGACTTACGTTAGGCTTCAAAAACGTGCGAGTTCCCTTTTTTTAATATTTCTAGTAGTTTTTACAGGCAATACAGGATTTATTGAACCAACATAACAAATCACACTAGAGGAACACAATGCACAAGCAATCCCTTCTTTTTCTTTTCATCACATCCTAGACAGAAAAAGCATCACGATAACTGACTGTCCTCAAGGTGCCCGAACAACTTCATATTCTAAATTCTAGAAACCACTCCCACTACCCAAGTGCCCGAACATGAACAAGAAAAGGTAAAACAATCAAGGAAAGGAAATAACATCCCTACACCTCTTACTGCTATAGGCACAAAATAAAGATAAAACACCGAATTCATATTTTAGAGCCTAACGAGATTATTTATCTGCAGTTTTCACAACATATCACCTTGGTTGGATCGATTATCCCAGCAGACATTAAATCTTCATACTCTCCGGTGGCAGCATTGTATCCATATCTTGGATCATCACTAGAGAGCACCTGAACGGACAATAATTAAACAGAAATGTCATATTAGTCATAAAACTTGACCACATTAAATCATGACAATATATGCAATACAAACAAACACGTAACACATTTATGACCACTAATGCACAGAAAACAACTCAGTTTTTAGGTTTCTCAATCAGCAAATGTAATTGCGGATGCCCAATAATTCATATACCTTCTCACTTACAACACTTCCATTGACACCAGCATTTTTGGCTATCAACTTCAGAGGGTAACTCAAAGCTCTTTTGACAATATCTGCTCCAACCTGCATTTTAGTGGCATTTTGAGTTATAATCAAGCATATAACATCGTTGAGAATCTTCAAAGCATGTCAAGGACTTTTTCCTACAAAATTTGCAATGTTAACCACCATCAACTTGCAATAAGACACTTCTTTTAAGCATACCCTAAATTTGAATATGGATAATTCAAAATCATGCACCCGTATTTTTTTACCTTCTCTTCATCATTCTCTAGGGTTTCCTTAATGGCATCGACCTTGGATGCCAGTCTCAGCAATGTACATCCACCTCCAACAACAATTCCCTCCTCAACAGCAGCCTGTAAGCCATACATAATCAAATATTGTAAAGATGCATTCTTCCTACCAGCAGAATCATAGAATAAAACTGTCTAGTAAATTGAACCATATATCTCCACCAACAGCTTACCTTCGTTGCATTAAGAGCATCTTCTACTCTAAGTTTCTTCTCTTTTAGCTCTGTTTCAGTTTGAGCTCCAACCTTCGAGTTGGAAATTTTTAATCAGCAATGCCATAATTTACTTTTCAGAGAGATGAAAATTGCAAACTTCACTTGACTCAAAAGTTACCTGGATCACAGCTACGCCTCCCGATAATTTTGCAATTCTTTCATTCAGTTTTTCCTTTTCATAATCTTGCTCAGCAGCCTGCTTGAACAATAATAGGTCAGGGACAAACACAAACAGTGAACCATGTCAATACAATAACGCAGGTCAAAGGATAAACAAATGCACCTCGATAAGGTTTCTTATCTGTGCAACACGCTTATTTACAGCTTCCTGAGTGCTTCCATCACCAACAATTGTCGTAGCGTCCTTGGTCAACACCACCTTTGCAGCAGTGCCCAGAACTTCTTTGTCAGCATTGTCTAAGGTAAGCCCAACTTCTTCTCTAATAACAGTAGCTACATGCCCAAGGAAAGAAATTAAATTAACTCGAAATATAAATAGCTAGAATAATTTAGGCCAAACAAGTTGGCAGGAAGGAATAAATGCATGTGCACAAGCACCGATAGCATCAAAAGGAATAGCCAGTGAGAATCAGAAAAAAAAAAAGGAAATTAAAACATTACCTCCAGTTAGAATTGCAATGTCGTCAAGATACTGACTCTTCCTTTCACCAAAACCAGGAGCTTTGAGAGCAGCAATTTTCAAGGTTCCCCTTAGCTTGTTGACCACCAGAGTTGCCAGAGCTTCTTGCTCAATATCTTCAGCAATTATCAAGACAGGATACCCACCTCTAATAGCATCTTCCAATACGTTAATAAGATCCCTTGCGTTTGTTATTTTCTTGTCAACGAGTAGTAACTATGCAAACAAATCAAAAGTTAGAAAACAGTATTAATTATTCCCAAAAGGAGAGAATAAGAATGCCTACCTTGCAGTTCTCAAACTCAACAGACATTTTCTCACTGTCGGTAACAAAGTAAGGAGAGATGTAGCCACGATCAAACTGCATTCCTTCCACAACATACAGATTGTTTTCGGCACTTTTTCCCTCTTCAAGAGTCACAACACCCTTCCGGCCTACTTTGCTCATAGCTTCAGCAATCATGTTTCCTACTTCGTAGTTATTCCCAGCACTTACAGCAGCAACATCAGCCAGTTCACTATCTTCCACCTATAATTTCTCATTTGCGAAACAATGCACCGCATTTAGTAACTAAAGCAACAGAGCATCAAGGTATAAGCAAACACAACTCCAAAATAAAATTATGCCCGATATTTTCTTGGGAAACTATTAACTGACAAGGTACCTCTTTTGACATTGACTTGAGCTCAGACACTAAGGCTTTGGAGGTTTTCTCAATTCCTCTGGTAATAAGGACGGGATTTGCACCAGCTGCCACCACCTGACACGCAGAATTAGAAATCTGATTAATTTCCCAAACCCATCAGAGGAGATTCAACTGTATACCATTTGATAAACATACCTTAACACCTTCAGTAATGAGACCTTGTGCAAGAACAACAGATGTTGTCGTCCCATCCCCAGCCAAGTCATTAGTCTTCGCAGCAGCTTGCCTCACCAGTTTAGCACCAATGTTCTCAACTGGATCCTCCAACTCAACCTGCTCAAGAATCATGAACAATGTGTTCTTATAAATGGAACCTGATATATCACAGGAGATGAAGATGGAACTAGCAAAGCACTGGGACAATTTCACAACGACGTGTGGTGTTATTCAAGGAAAATGAATGACTTAGTAACCCAAATGAAGCAGCACGAATAATACACAAATTATCAGAACACCACATGTTGGATAATACGAAGTCAAAAAAAATATCAGTAAATGCGTAACAAGTCAATGGTAGAAATATCTGTAACTCAGCAAACTTCAAAAATATATCATTATTGGATAACGAAGTGTTTGTGGCAAGTAGTTATAAATTAAAATACCCACACATGTTTATGCTAGTAGCCCATCTAGCAACCACATGTATCCTGCCAATGAAATTATTCAAAAGTCAGTATACCTCTTTAGCCACTGTAACTCCATCATTGACAATTTTTGGGGCACCATACTTGCTCTCTAGAACCACATTTCTGCCTTTAGGTCCAAGAGTGACACCAACTAAATCAGCAAGCTTGTTCACACCAATCTTAAACAAGAGAAACCACCGTCAAAACTTGCACCGCACAGAGTGAAATTTGAAACATTACAGTAACATAAACACCAGGTTCACCGACTCACTTGCAATCTCTTAATAGCCGATCCATCCTTGTTGAAATACAATTCCTTTGCAGCTGCTCTTATCTGGGGAGAGGAGGTTTTCTGGAGAACAATATTCTTTCTCCTTCCAAATGAACTTGAAGTTATAGAAGCCAAAGATGACAACTTGTTTGAAGAAGTTGCAAGTTTGTGATCACGGCAGTTGGCAGCAGCCAAGGATCCAACTGAGGAGATGCCAGTAAAAGTTGATGCCATTTGCTCCTAAAACATAATACAGACAACAGATTTAGCAGCTTCCAAAGAGAATTTCAGGAATTAGGATAAAATTTTCACAACGAAGGATGAAAAGAACAGAAGATATAGTGTATTCACTGCAACCGAGCAAAGACAGGAGAGAGAAGTTTTGTGACAAGGAAATTTTGAAAAAGGACTTTCTAAATCTTTGCTGGTAAAATCCTCAAAATGATAACAATCAAAGGATTTTTAGAAGATTTGACTATATACATTAGTTTTCGAACTGAATATAGACTAGAGTTAACTTTTTCAATTTCATAGAAACGGAGGCCTAAGTCAAGAGCTGTCGAAGTAATTCCAGCTTGCACCCTCGAGATTTGTCTCAAAAGCTTGAGATATCCAACATAACAATTCACGAAAAGAACCAGACATTATAAACAATCACGGCTTTTCTCTTCATTACAAATAAAGACATCGCTTCCAATCAATATCGTATGCCCACAAACTTGAAATCACAAACAAAACCCAGAAGCCATATTTCTGAAACACACCGTGTTCAACATAAAAACAAAATTACTAAACATGAAAAAGTGAATGATAAATGCAATTACAGGAAACACATATAAAAAGAATCCAGATGTTATCCATTTCATTTAACGACCTTTCTTTGAAAAAAAAAATCCATTTAATGAATAGAGAACTTTGATTAATAACTTACAATAAGAATTTGGGGTTTTTGTTGGTGTAAAAGAGAAGATGGTGCAGGGACGGGTTTTATCCAGAAGCAGAAACTGTTGAGTGGTGAGATAATAGCTAGGGCTTACTGAAGTGTAAAACAATTTATTGTATTAGGAAGCGGGTTGGTGGGACACAGAATGGAATAACGGTCACCTTTACTCTTGAAGCTTCCACTTCATCACAGCCGTCGATCCGTCCTGCTCCATGATTGGTTCTGCTTGCTCGTACACTCGAACACTCTAGAATCCATTTCTCAAGGAATTTATCTCGTCATATATATATATTTTTTTAACTAATGATATTACACCACGGTTGACGTTATTAAAAGTGTGTTTGGTAGGGATTTTTGGGGGAATAATTGATTTTTGAATAGTGATATGATGGGAAATGTGTGGTTGAAAAAGAAGAAAAAAGTATTGATGTAATGAAAAATATTATTTTATTGAAAAATATGTGATTGAAAATAAGAATTGATTTACTGTAGAAAATAAGAATCTGTACCAAACAGGCTCTAAAATTATAATTCATTTTTCTCTCTTCTAATAAATCACACATTATCCAATAAAATAATATCACATATAAATCCAAATTTTTTTCATTTTTTTAACTATACATTTTCAAAAAAAACATTATTCAAAAATTTATAATCTCAAATAATGGCAAATAAAGAGGCCAAACAAGGGCATGCGTAATGGTTTTTAGTTCTAATGGGTTGCAACTCCGATCTAAGTAGCGTTAATATGCTATTAAATGATAAGTATAATTTCACATTTCATTTAACATAACATATCATCTAGCTCTACTAAATTAAAATTGCAATCTCAACAGCTACGTAGAATGATTCATGATATTATAGATTGATTTAAGAATTATTCTTTCTTCTCTTTTTTTCTCTCTTTTCCATGTCATCATCTTGTACGTTAATCTATAGCACAAGATGTACAAATAACATTACTCTATTCTTATAGGAATTGTTTCTTTTCTTTTCTTTTCTTTTGAAAATACCATTTTTCTCTTTTAAATAATAAAATTTCATATAAACTTCCACCCCGTTTGATTCTCATTATTCTAGAATGAAAATGAAAAATATAGACGTTATTTGGTCCCATGCAAGAGATAGAAATTCAAAATTGATGACTCGATGTGATGGATAAGGATTATATTTTTCATTTTTATAGATGAAAAATAAGAATCAAACGGGCCATTCAATTGTACGTTTAATTTGATAACAATCAAATAATTTCATCCAATTCTATCAATTGAATTGACGAAATCAATGACGTTATCATCAATAAATGATTGTTGTTTTTAATTTAACTAAAGTTGTACTAATTTCCCTCCAGCAACAGATATTTACATATTATAATCATTATTTATCTGCACGTCATCGACTCTATTCGTGGAACTGAACGAAGTTACTTTAATTAAATCAAATTAAAATGTAGATACTTCATTGAATTTAAATTTAAGTCTAGTTCATTAGACTAAAGCATAATTATTGCAATTGAAATTAAAGAATGAGAATGAAAAATATAGCCGTTATTGAGCCCACACAAGAGAAAAAGAAAATTTAAATGTTGATGTGATGGATAACGATCATATTTTTCATTTTTATAGATGAAAAATAAGAATCAAACGGGTCATTCAATTGTACGTTTAATTTGATAACAATCAAATAATTTCATCCAATTCTATCAATTGAATTGACGAAATCAATGACGTGATCATCAATAAATGATTGTTGTTTTTAATTTAACTAAAGTTGTACTAATTTCCCTCCAGCAACAGATATTTACATATGATAATCATTATTTATCTGCACGTCATCGACTCTATTCGTGGAACTGAACGAAGTTACTTTAATTAAATCAAATTAAAATGTAGATACTTCATTGAATTTAAATTTAAGTCTAGTAAAGCATAATTATTGCAATTGAAATTTACTCTCCATTTTAGAATACTCATGGTGAAATAATTCTCTCTCTAATTTTTTATTTTAAAAGTTATTTTTAGAAGGAAAAAATGGGAGTCGAATTCTAAATTAAACCCTTGTTTGGCTCCATTTTTAAAATTCATTTTTCTTCAAACTCATTTTTAACTTCACATTTCATCTTTTTTTTTTTTTTTTTATCAAAATCTACTAAAAATCAGATTTCTACTAAAATTTTTTTAACAAAATCAAACAGAGGTATAAATTACATCATCCAATTATCTTCTCAATTCACGATACTTTTGTATGTAAACATCAAAGATACTCATTCTTGCATCCACCAAAAAGGCAATACTACTTTTAGGTACACTCAACAAAACCTTCATCTGTTTGATACACATTCTTTCAAAACTCATTTCCAATCACACATTTTTCAATAAAATAATATTTTACATCACATTAATAAGGTTTTCCTACTTTTTAACCATATATTTCTCACTATATAACTATTTAAAATACATTCTTTCCTCAATGATATTCATCAAACACAAATAATATATATAAGATCAAAAACAAATCTACCAAAGCCAAAAACAAAGTGTTATCCTGTTATTTCGAGTTCTCACCGATACTAATTAACAATAGTGAAACTAGACTTCTGAGTTGTAACATGTTCAAAGGGATCCTGAAGAGGCTCTAAGGAATCTACAATGTCTCGCATTAGAGGCCGTGCTTTTGGATTACGATTTAAACAATGGTAAGAAAGCATGGCTGCTTTATGAATGCCTTTTACTGGATAATCACCTTCTAATCTTGGATCTACAATGTCAAGCAATTTCTTCTTTTCTTTAAGCAAGGGGAGAGCCCAATCTGTAAGATTCTGTTCTCGAGCTGGTCTCGATTTATCTAAAGATTTTCTCCCAGTCAAAAGCTCAAGTAGTACAACCCCAAAGCTGTACACATCGCTTCTAGGAGTTAGATGGCCTGTATATGTGTAAATGCAATCAAGATATAAGAATTACTTATGTCCAGACATGTATATCTAGTATCAACATCAGATACTGACTGGCGATGCACATACACTTGTCTATTAGAGTCGAATATGTACCTGTCATAATATATTCGGGTGCAGCATATCCATACGTCCCCATGATGCGAGTGGAAACATGGGATTTGTCCCCAACTGGTCCATCTTTTGCTAGGCCAAAATCAGAGAGTTTTGCATTGTAGTCCTGCGTGTTGCACACATTGCCAATTATAATCATTAACTGGAGCCGCAAAATAAACTAAGATAATATAATGCAACTATTTGTCCAGTTGCTTTCAGGCATTGCCTCTCTCTGTAAGTTAGCCTACCCAGGATGGTTGTACAACTGCCGTTCGTTAGATTATGAAACAGGTGACTTCACGTTGCTGAAGGGTAATAAATAAGAAGGGATGTCTTTCATTGGAAATTCAACTGCACGAATCCGTATGTTTATTTGAGTGACGAATTAGGGAGGGTTTTCCATAACTAACCATGTCTAATAAAATATTAGATGTCTTAAAATCACGGTAGATGACAGGTTTCTCAGCGTCGTGCAAAAAAGCAAGCCCTTTTGCTGCACCAAAAGCTATCTTCATTCTGATAGACCATGGAAGAGGAAGCAATACTCCTGCACTAGCAAGCAACGAGTGAACTACATAAATCAAAAAGAAGATGATATCAACCCAAATTTTAATGCAAACTAAAAACATTTCACCAAATAACAAGCTTTCTTCTAAGTCTCGAATGCAAAGAACTATGTTGCATACATGTAAGAATGAGTTGTTGTTGTGATTAAACAAAGGAAGAGTCATTACTCGTTATTAATTGATGACCTAAATAAATCTTGAGTATCTAAGATGAAGACAAGTCACAGTGGCATATATAGTGGCAAATTTAAGGTTTCAAACTTTGAAAAGTTCTGATCTGCATATCTTTACATCTGTCTTCCTTAAATAAGTAGAAAACATTTTAAAATGGAAACAATCCAACTTTTAAACCATTGATTGCTTACTTGAAAATAGATTGTTTTCCACACTGCCTCTGGCCATGTATTCATATACTAGAACACGATGTTCATCTTCACAGCAATATCCAATCAATTTCACTAAATTTGGATGAGAAAGTTGCCCCAAAAAGATTACCTCGGCCTAAAAACGACAGGAAACTTATCAGAAATAACACAAGAATAAAAAATCGAAGTAAAATGTAAAGCTTTTAATGCGGGCAAGCATAAATTTGAAAAATTACCAGCCATTCTCTATGGCCTTGATAACTATTGTCTCCATCGTGAACCTTAACAGCTACTGGGATTGGCTGAAGAAGCTCATCTTTTAAATCTTGGGAGATGTATCCTTTGTACACGCTTCCGAATCCTCCTCCACCCAACATGTAATCTTGTCTGAAGTTTTCAGTTATGATCTTAAGTTCATTGAATGAAAACGCTGTTAAAGGATTGCTTGCCGAACTCTGGCGCAGGTGTTCTACTTCTTCGGGATTTAATGGTAGCTTACTGTCATCCTTTCTTGGTTTTTCTGATGGACTTTGTTCCTTTGCGGACTCTAAACAAACTAGTAGCAAATTAATCTCTCAGGACTCAGGATTGACAATATAATAATTTTGTCTAAACTTATCCCTTGTTTGATTTTGTTTTGAGGAGTTATGTTGTGAAAATTGATATTTTTTGAAGAATATATGGTTAAAAAGTAGGGAAACGTTATGACCTATGTGCAAAATTATTTTATTGTGAGAATATATGATTGAAAATGAGTTCAAGGAAAAGTGATTTTGAAAAATTCAAAATGAAACAAGGGCCTAATCATTTTATGTCTGTGCGTAAAGAAAATAAAAGAGAGAAGAATAATAGGAAGAACGGGAAGATTTTTATATCGGGGCAATCCTGCAAGTATGAATAGAAAAGCAACTAGAACAAGATTTCACTCCTATAAAAGATGACCATGTAATGATCGGAAAGACAATATAATATAAAATGTTATATTAAACTATGAAAAGAAAAGGTTGGTGCTGTTAGAAAAGAACGTTGTGAAATAGAAAGGAAGAAATTCCCAAAAAAAAAAACTGAAGAAGGAAAAGGAAGATAACATCAATTGAAATTTTATCTGATAAGTCCATTGGGTGTGTCTTTTGAATTAAAAGAATATTAGTAGGTTCATTAAAAGTCAAAATCTTCAAATATTATATGTATTCTGCATTCTGACCCTCCAGTATTCAGCGCATATATATGCAATCCA